GAGAGAGAGAGAGAGAGAGAGAGAGAGAGAGAGAGAGAGAGAGAGAGAGAGAGAGAGAGAGAGAGAGAGAGAGAGAGAGAGAGAGAGAGAGAGAGAGAGAGAGAGAGAGAGAGAGAGAAGAGAGAGAGAGAGAGAGAGAGAGAGAGGGAGAGAGAGAGGGAGATGGAGAGGGAGATGGAGAGAGAGAGAGAGAGAGAGAGAGAGAGAGAGAGAGAGAGAGAGAGAGAGAGAGAGAGAGAGAGAGAGAGAGAGAGCGAGAGAGAGAAAGAGAAAGAGAAAGAGCAAGAAAAAGAGAGAGAATGAAAGAGAAAGAGAAAGAGCAAGAAAAAGAGAGAGAATGAAAGAGAAAGAGAAAGAGAAAGAAAAAGAGAGAGAATGAAAGAGAAAGAGAAAGAGAAAGAAAAAGAAAAAGAGAGAGAATGAAAGAGAAAGAGAAAGAGAAAGAAAAAGAGAGAGAATGAAAGAGAAAGAGAAAGAGAAAGAAAAAGAGAGAGAATGAAAGAGACAGTGAAAGAGGGAGGGAGAGAGGCGCTGGGTAGAGATGCAAACATATTTGTAATAAAACTGACACTAATAATACTTATCATTTTTGGTATGTTGGAAGTCGCTCGGAGAACCATCCAAAGAGGTCACCTTTGGAGAAGAAGAAGAAGAAGAAGAAGGAGAAAAAGGAGGAGGAGGAGAAGAAGAAGGAGGAGGAGAAGAAGGAGAAAAAGGAGGAGGAGGAGAAGAAGAAGGAGGAGAGGAAGGAGAAGAAGGAGAAGGAGGAGGAGGAGAAGGAGGAGGAGGAGAAGGAGAAGGAGGAGAAGAAGGAGAAGGAGAAGGAGGAGGAGAGGAAGGAGAAAAGGGAGGAGGAGAGGAAGGAGAAGAAGGAGAAGGAGGAGGAGAGGAAGGAGAAGGAGAAGGAGGAGAGGAAGGAGAAGGAGGAGGAGAAGAAGGAGAAAAAAGAGAAGGAGGAGGAGGAGAAGGAGAAGGAGAAGAAGAAGAAGAGGAAAAAGAAGAAGAAGAAGAAGAAGAAGAAGAAGTGGAAGGAGGAGGAGTAAGAGGAGGAGGAGGAGAGGAAGAAGAAGAAGGAAAAAAGAATAAAAAAGAATAAAAAGAAAAAGAACAAGAACAAAAAGAACGAGGAGGAGGAGGTGGAGGAGAAGAAGAAGAAGAAGAAGAGGAAAAGACGAAGAAAAAGAAGAAAATGAGAAGAAGAAGCAAAAGAAGAAGAAGAAAAAAAAAAGATAATAAAAATAACAGACTGATAAGAAAACACACAAACACACACACACACGCACACACACACACACACACACACACACACACACACGCACACACACATAGAAGATAAAAAAAAAAAAAATAAATATAAAAATTCGCCGATGGGCCATCTTTTCTGCAAGGAGATGACGTCATTCAAGCGCTATCGAGTTCGTATCATATAAACATTATGTGGTGGACCGTGGTGGTGGTGGTAGAGGGGTGGAGGGTGGGGGAGGGAGGTGGGGGGGTGGGGGGTGATCCTAATCTTTCCTCAGGCGCCAAAGTGGATAGCTTGGCCTTGGCGCTTACGTACATTGCAATTTATGTGTGGCGGTATTTCCACGCACACGAACGCATACACGCACATACACACACGCATACACACACACGAACGCACAAACACAACCGCACACACACACGCACACGAACACACACACACACATACACACACACACACACACACACACACACACGCACACGAACGCACACACACACACAAACACACACACGCACACGAACACACACATACATACACACACACAAAAAAAAAAAAAATGATGACAGAGATAAAAAGGGGAAATTATTGGAATAATGATAGAGGATATTGGAAATGATGATGATGGTGATTGATGATAGTGAAGAAGAAAGTAACGTATGGTGCTAATGATGGTGATGGTGATGAAGAGAGTAATGTATGGTGCTAATGATGGTGATGGAGAGAGTAATGTATGGTGCTAATGATGATGATGGTGATGTTGAAAGTAACGTATGGTGCTAATGATGGTGATGAGGAAAATAATATATGGTGCTAATGATGATGATGGTGATGTTGAAAGTAACGTATGGTGCTAATGATGGTGATGAGGAAAATAATATATGGTGCTAATGATGATGATGGTGATGTTGAAAGTAACGTATGGTGCTAATGATGGTGATGAGGAAAATAATATATGGTGCTAATGATGATGATGGTGATGTTGAAAGTAACGTATGGTGCTAATGATGGTGATGAGGAAAATAATATATGGTGCTAATGATGATGATGGTGATGTTGAAAGTAACGTATGGTGCTAATGATGGTGATGAGGAAAATAATATATGGTGCTAATGATGATGATAATGATGAAAGTAATGTATGGTGCTAATGATGATGATGGTGATGAAGAAAGTAACGTATGGTGGTTATGATGCTGATGCTGATGAGATATGTAATAAATGATGCTGCTGATGAAAGGAATAGTAATAACAACAT